GCTCCCCAAGGGATCCTTCTCTCTCAGGGGGCCCCGCTCCCCAAGGGATCCTTCCCCCTGAGGGATCCTTCTCTCTCAGGGGGCCCTGCTCCCCAAGGGATCCTTCTCTCTCAGGGGGCCCTGCTCCCCAAGGGATCCTTCTCTCTCAGGGGGCCCCGCTCCCCAAGGGATCCTTCTCTCTCAGGGGGCCCCGCTCCCCAAGGGATCCTTCTCTCTCAGGGGGCCCCGCTCCCCAAGGGATCCTTCTCTCTCAGGGGGCCCCGCTCCCCAAGGGATCCTTCTCCCTGAGGGTCCCTTCTCCCTCAGGGATCCTTCTCCCTCAGGGGCCCCTCCAGTCTCAGGAGTCTCTTCTCTCCGAGGGCTCTTCTCTCTGAGGATGCTCTTCTTTCCAAGGATGCTCTCCTCCCTGAGGGGCCCCTTCTGACCCTTCTCCCCACCCCCCTCACCCTAAAACAGGGTTCAAAATTAAGGTGAAAATTCCAAGTTGTAGCAAGGGCAGGCTGAGCGGCTCCCGGGCCTGGTGCTGAAGGGATTGTTAAAAGTCTGGAGGCAGATCCCAGAAGGGTCTGTGGGAGAAGGTTTTTTCTGGCCCTGATCTGTGCTGGAAACAGCTCTTGGCTTTTGGGAAGAAAAAAGGTGTTTACGGTTGTATGTAATACAAATACACAAGTGGTGTTGAAGGCCTACAGTCAGGCTCTGGTCAGTTTCAGGCAGGGAGTAGAGAGTAAACACAAAAATTCTCAATTGAATAGGTTAAACTTTGGTCTCCTGGCTGGCAAAGCCTCCCCAGCCTTTTTGTGCTGAGAAGTAAAAAGGCTGTGCAAGGGCTGAGGGACAAAGGCAAGGTTGCAGGGACAGCACTGAGGACTCTCCCATGCCTGCAGTCAGAGATGGGAGTACTTGGGAGAAAAATTACAGCTACAGTGGTTGCAAAACTGCTCCCAGTACTCGCTTTCCACCACTTTCCATCTCAATTAAGTTACTTCAGCAACACTCCCCTTGTGCTTTCAGCCACAGGGTTTGGTTCCTGAAATACATCGAGGCCTTTGCCATCAGAGCAGTGATGCCTTGTTTGTGTGTGGTTTGTCTGACTCGAGTTTGTTTGTTTGCAGCCAGTGTAAAGCCTCCTTCCAGTCAAGGAGAAGATGCAGGTGCCCACAAAACTGGTGGTTGTTTGCATTTCTGCAACCAGAGACCATGGATTAGGTTAGTAGCTTTTACATTTGACTTTCAGTTATAGTCTGGTCAGTGTGTTTTCAACAGAAAGCTTCTATATTCCTTTATATGTACAAAAGCAAGAAAATTATCTCTGCTGGCCATGGCAGAGCTCCCATCTTTTGCACCAAGTAAAAATCCTGATGAAGTTCCAAAAATACCTTTTTCTTAAAACAAACCCCACATTTCATTGTATGCAAAAACTTCATGGAAACCTTCAGAATGTTACTCTTGTTGCCAGCTTGGAGTTAGAAACACATAGGCCAGAATTCCAAGATGGTCACGTTTGAATAAATGAATACTGATACAGGTTTGTTAAGGTCATCACTGGAGCCACAGAATTTAACCCTATGGCTAGGAGAGGGCATAGCAAGCAAAACCTGAGGAAATAGATAGGTAGTTCGTGTAATGTGAGCAGAAATTCAGCAAAGCTCATCTGGAAACTGCTTGAGACTTACTTGTCCACATGGTGGCACCCTATGTTTAGAAAGTGAGCTGTGCAGCCTACACTGAGCTCAACGTGTGCTTAGCTCCCCACATTTGCAGGCTGCATGTCCGAAGAAGTAAAAGGTCCTATAAGGAATTATGTTAAATCTCTTTCCCATTAACTCTGCAAACGTAATATGGACCATGAGGGCAAAATTCCGTTCCTTGTTATGCTCCCTCCCTGGGCTACGTAAGAAGGTTGTGGAAAAAGTCTGCTCTGGTCTTTTGGTTTGTATCAGTAGTGATGCATCTCCAGTTGATGCCAAAGGAGAAAGATGAAACATACAGATTAAGAAAGACAAAGGCTTTAACTTAAAGTTAGATTTTTATTCTTTATTTTTAAAGGCTAATGTTTCTGTAGAGTTACTGTTTCACATGCAAATGGGTGATTTTTTTAATTATTATTTTTTTAAGGGTTGTGTTCCTTATTGTAGCTCTGTCTGTAGGATATCCTTTCAGTCTGGAAGTACAGGACTAGAGAGACTAGTCTGACTGTCTCTGTGCTAAAACAGACTGCCAGACTGATCAGTATCATCTTTACAAACACGTGGTGACTTCATGACCTCTCTTCTCTAACTATTGAGCTCAGAACCAGTCAAGAGTTACTGAAGGGCACCTGGCCTTCCTTAGCTCCAAGCAGCCCCTTTTTCAAATGAGATTTGTGCTGCTTTGTCCTCTTTTATTCAAGTCTTGCCCATTTGTAATGAGCTCTGGGTTTATTTGCCCTGCCTGTCAATCAAAACTGAACTGCTGCTACTGGATGGTGTTTTGTCACTTGCCTATAGCATTAGGCTGTAATCTGCAGGATAGACACTCTTAAACTACAAGGTACTAACACGAAATCACATAGATTACGCTCCTACTGTGGGGGAGTTTCCAGGTCACAGGCAAACACCCTTCCATAGCCTTTTTGCCCCAAGAGTGTATGAAGTTGAGCTAGAAGCCTGGTTGATAAGGGTAATACTTTGCAACACTATAAATGTCAGTTCCTCACATGTATTTTCAGATACTGTAGCTGAGCTAGTTAGATGTCTCTTTGCTTCTGCCAGTAAGAATGAGAGAACACTCTAAGAAGCCTTTTAAGGACATGCAAGATTATACTGGTGTGTAAAAAAGAGGAAGACAAAAGAGGGTTCTGGAAATCATTGTG